TGTGGGGTTGCATAGCAGCCCCTATAAGGACCCTATTACAAAAACATAGGCCATATTTGCAGTACCTAGTAGATCTACAGCCCAAGTTCATAGTTCTGTTGCAAACTGGATTTACTTGTTGCTTAAATCCAAAACCTGGTGTAGAGCAGACTCACTGTAGTCTTCAGCAGTCGATACCTTCCCCGAGGTCAGGGGTGTGTGTAGGGGTGAGCTGTTCTCATTGTGAGCAAGTTATTACTTATAGTTAGTGTTGCTAGTCCTGCTAGAGCAGCAAAGGAGGCCATTGCCTACCTTTACTTTATCTTTTATTGGTGTTAAATCCTGTGTTGTATTCAATCAAAAAAATTATATTTGCTAGGCTAAGATTCTTTGTATTAGTATGTCCCAAGCTTATGAAGAAACTGGTCATGCCAGCGGATTGCATGGGTTAGTGTCCTGCTTTCTTGCTGTATGTTTGATGTGCAATTAGTGTAACCATTGGAAATGGTTATTCTGCAACAAAATCTGTGGTGATGAAGAGACTTCAGATTCTCAGTGATCAGATACAAGGGTAAGATGATACCAAGTGGTTTCTGGGCTGCTGTGCAGCCGCTGTGCTCACTGCAAGTCATAGTTTGGTGACCTGTAAATGATGTGGATACTATAGTATCATCATAGTCATAAATGGGTCATGTGAAACCAAGTATTTGGGACAAGTTAAATGGTTTTGAGGTTAAAAAAAAAATTCAAAACCAAATCAGAAAAAAATCCTCTATGAGCAATTGTTTGAGATAACTACTTCTGCTCCCAGTGGGACACCCTGCCTTCTTGCTAACTGCAAAGCACAATAGACGTTATCTTCTGGGGTGAGATCAGCTGTAACATATGAGCACTTAAATATAACTTTGGTTTTAGAAACATGCTTAGAAACATGCTCAACTGGTGTTACCTTTCTGGGACATAAACCAACTATCATCTGTCTTGTACAGACCGTCATATTTTCCAGCTGAGTCAGTATATATGGAGTTTATTAATAAATCAGAAGAAGCAGAGTCACTGTGAGTGCCCCCTGGCAAACCACTTCACCTCCGTGGTGTCTCAGATTTCCAAGCCCCCAAACTGGGAAATGATACAGACTCCTCCTTGTGAAGATCCACTACTGAGAGCCATCTGTTGCTAATAATGAGCCATCTTCTTCTCCCTTTTGCTTTTGAGACTCAGATTGGTGAAAATGTTTTCCTCAAATCATTGCTTAGCCATGGCTTTGAAGGAGGTACAGTGGTGATGGGTGCTTGTGCCTTCAGTAGCAAAAGCTTCTCTGCTGTCTCTTGTGCAAGGTTAAACAGTGGTGTACTGGAGCTTATCCAGGAGAGGAGTAGCTGAATGCCAGCCTTATTTTAAGGGAAGAGGACAGAGGTTGAAGGAAACACTAATTTGGAGATGATAGTTACCATAAAAGTTTGTGTAGGTCATTCTGGTAATCAGATTGCTACTTGTGATTTCTCTGTAAGGCAGTCTCTTCTTTGCAGGGCTACAAAACCTTTGGATTTTTTTGAAGCAATATCTAGCTTCAAGTGTAAAAATGCCAACTGGTCAAAATTTGCTGAAGAACAGAGTTCTGTGAGAAATACTAGATCAGTAATTCATAAAAATATGCCGTATCTCTGGTTCTTGAGAAATTCCAAGAAATAAGGTGACTTCAGTTACTTTCAGGCAAGTATATAGTGCTATTACTCTTCAAGCTATCTTATTTCAAAAGCATCTTGTTACTGAAATCAACTTCTGGGATGCATTTTAGGATTTAGTTTTTTGTGTTTCTGAAGAGATACAGAAAAGCATCCTCTGTAAACCAAGGATGCCATTTTTGGTCACTGATGCTGTAGAAGAGAACAGAAGAAAATGTTTGCCCTGGACTTGAAACAGAAATGCAAGTTATTTTCTTCAGCTGAGGAAGTTCTCCTGATGGAGACAGAGCTGCACAGCAGCTGACAAAATGGCTTTTTAATTGGTTAGGTGAATTGTACACATTTAAAACCCTATTATAGAAAACCCTATTATAGGGCTGTCCTGATGTACTGCATTTGATAAGCCCTATTCACATGCATTTGCCTAAGGTTGATTTTGGCTTATACATCTCTTCAAATCCCTATTTTCTTTTTCTCCAAGCTGGTAATAAGATTTCTTATTATCTTCTTGCTTTTGACTCCTTCAAGGCTGCTGACAAAGGGGCCTCGGCTGCTCTCTTGATATTATCTGGGCAGATATCAGTTGAATTTGAAAGGGTGGATTAAATAAGGGCTTTGCTAATGTTGCCAGGCCTAACTTCATTATTGTGATCCTGCAAAGGAGGAGAGAAGAGGGGAAGGAAACGAGCTGTCTCAAGAAAATCGAGTGCCAGAGTAGCGGAGCATTGTGTGTGTATATATTTCTATACACAAACAAATATGTGTATGTAGGCATATGGTACCTAAATTTGTAAGACCTTGCCTCCTTTCTTTCAGATACATAAATTATTTATAGATCCAAGCAATATACAATACATTCTGCTTTGGAAGAAAATACTGAAATTGAAAAGAGGAATGACTGCTGTTCACATACATGTTTTCCACACATTTCTTCCTGGCATTTATGGTGGATCTGTCTCTGCAGGTGTTCAAGCCTTAGTTTATCAAGGAAAAATCTGGGAGCTTTTTTTAGGGACCACAGAAATAAGTCTTTTCTCCTGCTTCCTGCAAATCAAAATTCCTTTGGCCTTTCCTATATGTGTGGGGATGTTGTGGCTCTGGTGCAGAGAGTTTGGCTGCATCATTCACAGTCTGATCCAGTAAGGCTGAGACACAGAGGAACAGAGTTGTCTTCATAATCATCTCAGTGGGTAATTATATACAAGTTCCTTTGCTTTGGTTTCCTCTGATGCACCTTATCTGTCCAGTCTGGTCAGACCATAGACTTCAGCACAAGGATGATGCTGTTTTGACTGTATCCATTTCTTAATGCAGTGAGGCCCTCCACTCTCTTGGGACCTCTAAACATTAACAAAACAAATGCTCAGTGTTAAGTGCTTTGAAAATCTCGGATGAAAGGCAAAGTATTACTGGGAAGAATTAGCGTCTCCTTCCCCTATACATTGATCGATGGGGGAAGCGGTCTCCTTAGAGGCTTGAGAATGGAGACAGCCTTGTGGATGTACTGATTTGTTCTGCACGATGATTTCTCTTGGAGTAATTGCACTGTCAGAGCGTTTATCAGCTAATGAAAACCTACTTCAATAACACCAAAAAACAAGGATAAGTGAGCCTTGGTTTTCTGTTTTTCCCCTCCCTGAGCATCCGTTACTCATGAGCGAGTTCTGTTCATGATCTCTGGCAGGTTGTAGAGGATAAGAAAACCTCATCTACCAGCCTAATGAAACCACATGGAGAAATGGGTACCTAGATAAGAATAATTCTGCTTATCCAAGAGCAGATGGGGTGGAAAGAGAAACCACAGAGGAAGTTTAAACTAATTTGAGCCAAGCTCTAGCTGCATGAACTTTGAATTAGCCCTTTCTCTGTGCTGTGCTAGTGTCTGCTATGTGGGCCAGGGCTCTCTTGCTAAGCCAGCCCCGTTCTGTGCACATTTGAGTCCACCTGGCAAAGCAGAGCTCCAGGTTTGGTGGTGCAAGGGGAGTGTTGTGGAGGACCTGCTGAAGGACCAGCATTCCCCACTGCTGTGGGGAGGTGTGAGCTCAGAAGAGCTTTCAAAACCCAGCCATCTGGCCCTCTGTAAATTGTAGATATTGCAGCTTGTGGCTGGAGAAAGAGAAGATCAGAGAGTGAGCGCAGGAAGGGTGGAAACTGTGTGCAAGTCCAGTCCTGTGGAGCTAGAGGGACTTGGATGCTCTGGAGGTTCAGATGGTTTATGCAGTACTTGCCATAGTCTGAGTCCTCATGCCATGTTGTATATAAACTGCGTGTTTCCTAACCTATGTTGTTAAGCTGCAGACTAATGATAGTGCTCCAGTTCCAAGTGACTAATTACATTATTTAATAAAGAGAGTGTTCTGGATCCCAGAAATGTACAGAGCAGTTTAAACAACAAAAAGTGGGATGATGATCTATAGGTTTTGTGTTGTCTGCTGCCTGGGTTTTCCTGGTGGAAGGCAGAAAGACCCATTTGCATGAATTGATGCCACACTGGGCAAAGAAATATCGCAGATCAGTTTGGAGAGAGGTGGGTACCATAAGATTAACAAGATCATAGAATGTGCTGCGTTGGAAGGGACCTTTAAAGATCATCTGGTCCAACCCTCTGCAGTGAGCAGGAACAATGTTACCAGATCAGGTTGCTCAGAGCGCCATCAAGCCTGACCTTGAATATCTCCCGGGATGGGGCCTCCACCACCTCTCTGGGCAACCTGTGCCAGTGATCTACCACCCTCATATCGAAGAACTTTTTCCTAATATTCAACCTAAATCTACCCTTTTCTAGTTTAAAAATATTACCTCTTGTCCTATTGCTACATGCCCTTGTGAAGAGTTCTTCCCCAGCTTTCTTATAGACAACTTTCAGGTACTGGATTTTTAATAAAAACAAACAAAACAAAAAAACCAAACAAACAAAAAACCAAAAAACATTTACAGTAACAATTTTGGGATCTGCCATAGTGGGGGTCACTGCTGCCTTGGTTTTGTGCTGTTCAAGTTGACCCTTATCTGTCTTGGTTTGGGGGACAGTTGCAGTTTCAGGCTCTGCTGGAGTTAGTGTGGGCAGCTGCAAGGTCCAAGAACCAGCAAAGATGCCATCCATGGAGTTGCAGTGCTTGGAGGCCAGATGACAAATCATGATCACAGGTGAAGAAACTGTGAACAAAACAGCCCAGAAAGAAGGGAGAGGTGGGGGGGAAGGTGTTTGAGTTTTAAGATCTGGTTGTATCCCTCGCTGTTCTTCTCTGATGTTATTGGTAACGAAATGGTTTTGATTTTCTTCTCCCTATGATAAGTCTGTCTTTTGCTCACGACCATTAAGTGGTGAGAGCCTTCTCAGTCCTTCTTTTGTCCAGCCTCCTTTTTGGGGGGCATGGTGGTGCTCAATTGCCGACTGGGCTTAAACCGTGACAGAGGTAGGCTCAGGTAAACGGCCACCAGCTGAAGGATGTGGGCTTGCAGCAGGTACCAGACCTTCATGATTTTCTGTAGAGGCAGGTTCTGAAGAACCTCCAGCAACAGGGTGAGACCCTCCTCAATCTGGTGGTTGACACAGCACAGCTGGCTGCTGAGCAGGAGGCAGGTTTGCTGCAGCAGAAGGTAGGAATCATTTCTGCTGTCAGCTTTCTGCAGGCAGGACTCCGTCTCCTTCATGAAAAGCTGGGCACAGCTGGAGGACTCCAGCTGGAGGAGCATCTTGGTGACCTGGCACAGGGCATTGGCCATGCCCAGGCTGTCCCCAGGTGTGCTGCACAGGGCTATGACCAGGAAACATAGCTCTCCATGGCTTGCAAGGGCTTGGCCAGCAGCTTGTAGAGAGCTGCCAGAAGGTGCAAGGAGGCCACAGTTTGCTTGGGGCTACGCACAGCCAGGACATGGCCCTGTGTTGTCAGGACCCGCTTCTGTAAGGCGAAGCCGTCATCCAGGCTCTTGGACAGAGTGGTCTCCGTGGCCAGGTTGAAGGCGATGCTGTCATACAGGAACCTGTCCTCCAGCAGGCTGGCCTCATAGTTGACGCTGTTGCGCTCAAAGTTACCCAGGTTCTGCCCCTGTGCTTTAACTCTCTGGTCCCTCTTGATGCTCTTCTCCATCTTGGACTCCACGGTGCAGATGCAGAGTCAGAGCAGAGCCTGCACCTGGTCATTGAGGAGTCAGTCCTGGTTCTGGGTGTTCCTGGGCACCAACTCCAGCCACTGCAAGGCTTCATGGACCGTGTCTGAGGAGGAACAGTCTGTCTGCTGGGTGTAGCTGTGGTAGCACAAGACCTGGGCCAGCTCTGTCAACTTGACAGCTCACTTGTGCAGGCGGCTGCTCTCCTATGAGCAGATCTCCAGCAGGTCACAGAGGACGTCGTAGCGTTCCTGCCCCGTGTCGGCTTAGACTGTCTTGTAGGCTTTTAACTCCACAAAGAGAACAGTCAGCAAGGTCTCCACGTCCAGGCTATGCCTATGCAAGCCTTCCTTTCAGGGTTCACAACTGTAAGTCCTCAGCTCCCATTTCACAGCGTTTGTTTTGACTCTGACCCAGAGGGAGCTGGGCTCTGCCAGCAGCTCCCTGATGCGGCCTTGCAGTGTGCCCAGCCACTGCCCCACAGACACCAGGGCTTGCTCCAGCTTGTGGTAGCTTGCCCCCTGCAGCCTGAAGCATTTGTACAGCCTCTCTGAGGGTATGCTTGGACATGCGTAGGCATCTACTGCCTGCAGCCTCTCACAGAAGACCTTGCAGATGGTGATGACCTCCTCATGAAGGTTATGGTTGTAGAAGATGTAAGCCAGCTTGAACACACACAACATGGTGACATCGAGGTACTTGTCTCAGTCACACTCACTGAGCCCTTTCAAAGCCTCCAGTGGGTGAAGGGGGCAGGATAGTGTCCATGCACACACCAACTCCCACAAAGCTCAGGTTGGAGAAGACACTGAACCAAATGGATGAAGCTGGGAGTCAGCGAGAGGGTCAGGATGGTGTTTCTGGTTACCTTGCTTTCATCCTCCAAACTGAAGGTGTCGATGGGAGATGAGATGAATCCCACTGCTCTGCCCAGCTTGCAGCGTTACCACGAGCCTTGCTTTTCCTTGCTGGAATACTTTGACTGGAGCAGCAGTGCTGTCTCCCTTCCCTTTCACAGGCAGAGTGAAACCCTAGAATCTTAGCGTTGTGGTCAAAAAAGAAGTTCCAGATACAAAACCAAGCAGTACCTTTTGGAATATTTATTTCTTTTTAATTTTTTCTTTTCATTTGAAATTTCTGAGCAGAACATTGTGTCAGACAGGAAAAGATAATATTGTTCATTTTGAAGGCATCTTGGGGAAAATATAGGGGAGATTCAAACATGGCAGTGGTTGGAAGAGACTTGAAACTGTCCCTTTTGGTCTGCACTGTGAAAACTCAAGAGTTTTTAATGTGAAAAGGGTTCCAATGAATTGTTAACTGGGGCTCTACAATGTCACATCCTGACCAAGATTCAGAGCTGCATTAAGAAATGATGTTATCGGAAATCCTGTTCTGTACCTTTTGTATTACACAATTAGTGTTAAGGAATTGATGTAAGGGGAGCAAGTTTGTGTTTAAAATGATAGTCTCCTGTTAGAAGAAAAACTTACTGCGTTATAAGGAAAAGTTCTGTTTGCTTTGGGAGAAAGTTTATTTCCATGTAGAGCTAATTTGGAGGTGATCTGGTACAAGGTGGAAAAGATAATGGAATGTCAGCCCATTTTTATTCCTTTCCTGGGGGAAAATATGCTGTGAAACATCACTGCTAAGGCAATAGTAAATCCATGTAAATTGGAAAGTGAGGTATTTCATCTTCACTCTCAGTTCTTCACTCGCCTCCTGTCTCCATGAAGGTTCAAATATTTGCCTACACTGGAAAATGCCAATCAATAAATAACCATGTTGTCAGAGGTGTGGTTTTAGTTTTGTACTTGTGGTTTTCCCAGTGCAAGGAGAAGGAGAACGCTGTCTTATTTGGTGTAGTTTATTTTGCTTACAAAAGCAAATAAAGCTATTCAAATGCAATTACTATTGCACGCACAACTGCACCCATATTGAGGCATGTGGCTGAGTGAGCAGGATGCCATTTTAAGCACCGCAGGCTAGTGGAAGCAGCGACCTTCCTAGCACAGGCAAACCCTTAAATTGGATTGTCTGATCCATGAAATGCTAGTGCTCTGTCTAAAATTTCCCTTGAAAGCCTTAAAGCCTTGTACAAGTTTCATCAGGGTCTTACAATGTGATGGTGGTGGATTAGTTTTTTAAACTATAGTTAAGGCTTCCTGACTTTTCTGGGAATCGAAGTACTTTTCCTATGTTGACACTGTTCTGACAGTAATTGAACCCTCAGAGCATGGATGTTTCTTTTCTCGTGAAAATGTAATGGAAATGTGATGCTTAAACCAAAATTCACACTTCTGAAGGTCTTGTCTGTAGTTGGGCAGCTTATGGATGAGAGTCCTCTTCCTTCTTCCCTTGAGTTTCCTCCTGTCCTGCTCTGTGCTGCTGAATTGCATTTTCCTGTCCCGTGATGCTTCTGCGACTAAACAGAGGGCAAACACTACAAGGTTGTGAACAAATACAAACAAGAAAACTTGCAGTACATGGTGTTAGAGAGATCTCATTTTAGTGCACAAAATCAGGGAAAATACTTGGGATTAGGACCTGACTCAGCTTCATCTCCCTTGTAATCCTCCAAATCTTCAAGTTTCTAGGCCTTTCATTTAGCTGTAAGCAGTCTGCCCCTGTAGTCACACTGGTTGATGTAGGTCACCTCGCGGCACTGGACTTCAAAGTACAGCACAGGGGTCACGGTGCATCCTTGCTGCATGGACAGGCAATGGTGTCCGGTGGCATTGTTTGCCCTGGTGTAGCTGAGCTCAGGCAGCAACTTTGTGGACTGGAAATACCATTGTGCCGATACTGAGGAGCTGCTCTGGAAGTGGACTCTTACAGTAAATTTGGAGCTGGGGATATGAATGGGGCAAATCTGCACAGGGTGACTGTGGGCTTCTTTGCTGCTTTTGGCCATCATCTGCTAATGCAACACCTGACGGACAATAAATCCCTGACTATTCGTCTCTGTCGTCATCTGTGCGCATCACCATCTATTTATATCATTACTGGTGCTGTAATCTTATAGCTGTAATTTTACAGATGGCGAGAGGCTGTGGTGTCATTAGTGCATGAATGTGGAGGTAGAAGCTGGAAATTTTGCCTGGGATTTTTGTGTAGAGGAGCCTGTTTTAATGTGCTGCTCACTGTATTTCCTAGGAAAGGGGATGAAGCTTTGGGAATACTTGTGCTGAAGAATTGCAAGGTGGGAGTAACATTTACTACGCGCATGAGGAATAGTGGTGTATTCCCCACTGGGAACATTCTCCCAGTTATGGCTCAGGGTCACAGTTGTTAAAGTCTTAAACAGGGGTTTTCCCATGACCTCCAAAAAATTAAACATCAAGGTCATCAGAAACACCTGCCTCTGATGGCCAGTGCTTAGCTGGTTATTTTAGGCAGCCTGGATCATCCCATGCATGTGTGCATAGGCATACACAGGCAAACCTTTCCCATCCATAGGAACCAGGCACCCAGCTTCTCACTGAGGCATTTGACAGAGCCTCTAGAATACCAAACTGACTGGGGCAAGTTTCCAAATGGTTATTTTGGGTCTAAACTGCAAGGCAAACACTTTGTAGATGGCTGAGAGCGTTCCTTCCTGTCCCTCTCTTGCTCGTGACCACTGCAGCAGCAGGGACTGGTGCATCATTACATTGCACGGTGCAGGAGAACCAGAGAGTGAATATTAATCAATGAGACCCTGAACAAGAACAGATTTTGCACTGACAGTGGAGCTGCTCAGAGGGCAGTGCTGTTAGCTATGAAGGAAGGCAAAACTTTGCTCTGTAACCATCTGGCACTCCATCAGTCCCTGCTACTGCTCTCCGCAGGCTTGTCTGCAGCTTTTCTGTCCGTCTGTCTCACTTCACATCAGCACTCGTCATGGTTGCTGTCCTCCATTCTGCTCCTGGCGTTGGCTGCTGAGCAGAAAGCTCCTGGTCTCATGGACAGATGCCGAACTACTTCGAGAGCATAATTCAGCCACTGCCTCCAAAAGTGAGTTTTAATTTGGTCTTTACATCTGAGAGTGAAAATCACTACAGTACCCTCAGATGTTCTGGAAGGTGGCACTGGGCAGTGGTGGGGAGACCCCTCAGTCTCACATGAAGAAGGGAGCCGCCTCCTCTGTGAAAAATTTCCCTAAGTGGGAGCATCTTATTAGCAGAAGCCAGAGCTCCGATATTGGTGGTGTCTAACTGTGAGCTGAGTAGTTGACATCTGAGAGGTGTTTCTGCCTGTGATGCTGTGGGGAGGGCTGAGGTGGTGTTTTTCTGTCAATTGGGTGACTTTTACATCATGACTCTTCTTGATGTGCAGTTTCAAGGAGGTAAGAGCGTTCTGGTTTATGATCCCTGTAGACAAGCTCCTTTTGCCAAAGAACAGAGCATTAGCAGAAGTGGCCAGGTGTTACCACAACATGATATTATAAAAAGACAGGGACTGGAGCTTGCACGTAGGCTGTGGTTATTTTGGGATTTATTATTTTTTACCTATAGAAGGGATGCTATGTAGGTTATACCCGTAGGTTGCAACCTCCCATCTGTATTTGCAAAGCAATCTGGTTGATGTCTCTTGGCAAGCTTGAAAAGGGAGCCAGAGCAACAGATGTCTGTGAGGTGCTGCTCCAACATGCCCTGGGCAAACCTGTCAAAAGGAACTTAAAAAGTAGGAGACTAAGGAGTCATCTTACAACAAAGTGTTGCAAGGACGTTGTAAATGCCTTTTTAGCAAGGATCTAGGGAA